GGGGGGGGATCTAAGAAATCCGACTACATAAATGCAACGCGGTGCGATAGAAACGTAGAAAAGAATAGAATTACCAAAATCTGTCAAACACAAGGCACACGAGGGAAAAGGAGAATTTCACATACCAAAACACACACACACAGGAGGCGGACACAACAGCAATAGTATTGAAACAAAACAAAAAATTAAACATTTGCCCATGCGAATAAAGACAGCAGATATCCGGTTGTCGGGTATATAAATGCAGTAAATACGCGAGCGAAAGCAAAACCTAGTTTTTGGAGCGCATCGGCGCTGTGCGAACGTTCGATCGCGGAGCCGGAGTGGTGGTGGCGGTAGAGGTGCTGGATCGGGGCGTTCGGCGCGGAGCCCTTTCGTGGCGTACTGATGAAGAAGCCGGTGGTGGCATGTTATTAGTGGACGCCGGCGTTGCTGGGGCTGCCCTTGTATTCACTTTTGCATGTTTCCGGTTTGAAGATGTTTTCTTTTCCTCCGTTTCGGGAAAAGGAGATTTAGTAGTCGGCTTTCCACCGCGGATTCTTCTCTTAGACGAGGATTTTGCTGTAGAAGGACGTGCAGGTTCCGTCGTTGGTGGAATGTCCTCAGCCTCCGGGTCGGCTTCATTTTTCACTACTTCCTCGTCTCCTTCCTCCTCGTCCTTATCATTATTATCTTCGTCTTCGTCATCAGAGAATACAAGAAGCCGCGGGTTTATGGATGGTCCTGAAATTCGCCAAAAAGGAAGGTAAAGAGGTTATCAGCGGGATAAAGAGACTACACTGGCTCAGTAAACTGAAAAGTGAGCAAAATGACGTGTGGCGGAAACTGGTGTCAAAGAAAAACAGGAGGACCCGGCCGGAATCCACGTGACAAACGCGATTACAGTGTTGGACTTCTAGCCAACAGGTCACGGCCGATGACAGCTAACAAGCCCGAAGCTGTCATCTATAGTCTGCCTTATCTTTGTTAGCAATGTCTTTCTGCCTGTAATAGGCTAGCCGTTGAGCGGTTGCTGACGGAACTTCAGAGAGACCTCAAAGACCTCCGTCACCGATCGGTTAGCCCCTACCTACGCACAAACCCACGACTACATTACGCACCCAGCTTATACACCCCGAGGATAGGGTTGGCTATTCCGACAAGGAAGAAGTCGTCTATAAGATCCCATGCAAAGTTTGTGATACTGTATATTGCGGCCAAACAGGAAAGTCTGCCTTCAGACGCATCAACAGGCAGTGAAGAGGTGTGGCCATGTGTCCCAACTGTCCACACACAGCCTTGATACAGGACGCGCCTCGCGTCGGTTAAGGTTGTCATTCAAACAAGGTCGATAATTTCTTAAAGCCATGCAGTCCGATAGCTAATGCATCAACCACTATATTGAGTTAGATGCTGCCTACCAAAATTACAAAGAAAAATGGAAGAGACGAGAAGCGAATTGCAGGCGCTAATTAGCGCGGCCATCAAATGAATATTGATTTTTTCAGTACTTGAAATGTTAATTGTTCTTTGCACACTTATTCACGTCTGACGACGACCTGGGGAACCAGCAGCGAAATTTTTCCCAATAAAGTCATGTTGCTTTACCATCGAAATGGTCATTTCAGTTTCCGCTATCGTTGTAGACAAATGGGAAGATAGAAAAGGCGCAAAGTCTATTTCGGACTTATTCCGCTCGAAAATCGGCAAGGAGCTGTTTATACCGTAATTGTTGGAGCTAATCTTCGTTGCCACAGAGCATCGTGATAAGTGACCTAATAGTAATTTGTCAGGCAGGCATCAGAGTCGTGAGACCCTCTCAGTAGCAGGACGAGGTCAGTTCTGGCTTAGGCCGAAAACATCAAGTCTCCCGCACGGCGATCACTGTATGCTCAGTTTTTCATATAAGCAATAATTGACTCAAATACGGATTTACCCCGGAAGGAGAGGCCGGCCATGGTAGAGCGAATTTTATTGCGAGTCACAGACTTGCGCCCGGCCGCGTCCCAATCCTCCAACTGGCTGCTTGGCATCGGAGGGCCCAGAAGGGAGGGTGTACATGGAACAGCCTCCTCTCCCTCTACCACCTGAGTTTTTGAGTCACCAGCGTTGCTCGCTGCCTCCGCGTTCTGTTCCTCAGCAGCTACAATAAAGTCCTTCGCCTTCAGTCCAGAGGCTTCTATACAGGAGAATATATTCTTTTTGAAGCGATGCAGGGGCAGGTGGGAGGTCCGATCAATGTGCTAAAAGGGTGACCAGGTTTGGACGGGGTAGGTAGAGCGACCCAAAGGAAGGATGCGCATGTTACGTATCAATGGAAACCGGATGGCATTTAAACAATTAGAACATCTACACGTAAGAAGATATTGCAACTGTCCACTAAAGCAGACCAACGCCTTCTTGGACAAGCTGTGCCTGAGAGAATAAACAAAAACGATTTATATACTAGTAAGCGTACAGGAGAAAAAGGACTCCCTTGTCTCGTGAAAGCACTCGATTCGGTTGGCATACGTCCTCTTGTGAAGACTTTTAAGGGCGATAATATACAACAGAATTGTCCAATTTTAGCAACGGCTTTTAATCCGTATACATCGAGGATGTCAAAATGAATAAAAAAAACATCTTTTTTTCTACCACAAAGGTACGACAGCCCATCTACATTGCACTCCCCACATGGAAATATTAGGCGTCCCGTAAACATTTTATTTGTATTAGTCTTAGTTAAGTCTCGTTTTTAGTTCAGTAGGTTTAGCTTAGTTTTTAATTTATTTGCTTCACTTAACTTAATTTAAGTTATAACGGTAACATTTAAGGTGAGATGAAGTAAGCTAACCTTGAATATCATTTCAACAAGTTGGAGAAGGTCCTTGTAAAGACCAGGCTTGTCGAGGGAGAGATGCAGTTGACCAAGCACACGAATGTACAAACGAGCTTCAGCAGAATTAGGAGCGTTTAGAACGCGGTTACATAGCCGCATAGCCAGGTCGTCGTGGCAGGGGTTCTCCTAAAACGATCGAGGAACACAGAAAATGAGGCAGCAGAAACGTTAGAATAATTCAAGAGTCATGCCACGGAGCTGATATGAATAAGTTCTGGGCCAACTTGCGGGCTGTGCATTTAAAAACAAACACGCAGAAGGCAATCGGCAAAAAGACCGAAAAGGCGAATACATTAGTCGCCGGTTATTAAGCCCCCGGTTAATAGGCCCAGCCGCCTATTAAGCCCAAATCAGCTTGGGACGGAATT